GATTGCATGTGAAAACCCCACCCCGTACCCTAGAAGTGCATTAATGTACATAGTTAGCATTCAATAAAAATAAATAAATAAATAAATAAGAAAAAAAAAAGAAAGAGATGCTTGTGTTTGACCAAACTAGCAAAGTCCCCCTGCTCTGCCCTTCCCCCTCCTGGTGAGGGCACAGGCTCGGAGCTGTGCAGTCTCCCACGCCTCACTGGTCCCTGCCAGAGGAGACTGGATGACACTCGACCCAAGGCCTGCCTTCCTCCAGCATCAGCACCAGCATCCATCAGGCCCCACCAAGGAGCAGGAAGGCACTGAGTGTCAGACACGGAGCCCTGTCCTCAAGGAAGAGGCCTTCTCCTGGTGACGGCTGAGACAGAAACACACCAATGACACATGGAGAGCTAGATGCAAACCTCAAGGAAGGTCTGGGTGATATCCGAGAGGAGGCAAGAAGCAGATGCCCTCGGCGCAGGAGCAATGGAAGCCTCCTGGAGGAAACAGCGAGGAGGAGCTCAGGGGACCGCACGGGGACAGACCAGGTGCTCCGAGTGGCAGGAGAGCATCCCCAAAAGCAAAGGAGCAGGGGGCACCCCCAGTCACAGGGCCCGTGGCTCAGAGGGACCCCAGACACACTCCCTTCACACTCCTGCCAAATGGTCGGTCTTGCTTGGGCTTGATTTCCTCCACTGACAGGGACCTCACCACCTCCTAAGGCACACCGTGCCACCTTAGGCCAGTTCTGGCTGGTTGTGGCCATACTGCAGAAGGGTGCTAAGAGTTACAAATCATGCCTTTCATGTTCTGATTTTATAAAGAGTGAGCTAAATATGAACAATTGTATTCATTAGAGAAAGAAATTCATGAAACTATATTTTTAATACCTAGCCACTCCAAACATGGAATCTGCTAACCTTACCATGTGGAATGTTGCTGAAAAGCATTTGACAGATAAAGCTATGGTGGCTGATCAGAGCAAAAACTGGCACACCTCCATGGAGGGCACACAGGAAAAACATTGAGTAAAACGGTGAGCAAAACTCAATGCCCGACCCTCAGACCCAGTCCTCCCACTTCAGAAATTCATTCTACAAGGCTCAGCGCCCGTAGCACAGTGGTTACAGCGCCAGCCACATGCACCGAGGCTGGCAAGTTTGAACCTGGCCCCAGCCAGCTGAACAATGATAACTGCAAAAAAAAATAGCTGGGCATTATGGTGGGCACCTGTGGTCCCAGCTACTTGGGAGGCTGAGGCAAGAGAATTACTTAAGCCCAAGAGTTGGAGGCTGCTGTGAGCTGCGACAATGCCCTGGCTCTCAACCGAGAGGAATATAGTAAGACTCTGTCTCCAAAAAAAAGAAAGAAATTCATCCTACAGATTCACTTGCATACTTGAAAGGGGTAGCTGGCCACACAGTGCGGCTCCCAGACTTCTGTTCTTACAGAACCATCTGAGAGTCCCTCTGCAGGACACTGACTCAATCAGTAAAGGAACATCAACTTGACAAAACTCCGAGTAGCCTTAAAAACAATGAGACTCTTCCTACACACTGACATAGAACATCCCCCAATATAATCTGTTAACTGGAAAAAGCGGGTGTCAAGCAATGAGAGGAAAGAGGGCAACATGGAGGATAAGGTGCTACATACGTGCACCTGCTCCCTGCATAGGGCCCAGATACGCGCACCTGCTCCCTGCATAGGGCCCAGATACGCGCACCTGCTCCCTGCCATACACAGACCCAGATACGCGCACCTGCTCCCTGCATACCAGGACCCAGATACCCACACCTGCTCCCTGCCATACACAGA